GGCAACAGAGTGAGACTCTGTCTCAAAAAAAAAAAAAAAAAAAAAACCTGAAATTTACATAAAGTGGTAGTTAGCAAAGGCCTTTTTTGTTCCTGTGGACAAATTCAAAGTAAATCTTCCATTCAAAGCATGAAAGATTCGCTTTGAATTTGTCCTCAGCTAGAGTGTAGTAGTGTCATGATAGCTCACTGCAACCCTAAATTCCTGAACTCAAGCAATGCTCTTGCCTCAGCCTCCGAAGTAACTGGGACTACAGGCAGGCACCATTATGCTTGGCTAATTTTTTTTCTACTTTTTGTAGAGACAGGGTTTCACTCTCGCTCTTGCTCTTGCTCAGGCTGGTCTCTAACTCCTGGCCTCAAGTAGTCCTCCCACCTCTGCTTCCCAAAGTGCTGGGATTACAGGTGAGAGCCACCACACCCAGCTGCAAATTTTTTATTCGTATATCATATTGTTTTGTAAAGGCTGGTCATCTTTTAGAACAAATCATTATTAAACATTTTAAGAGAGGATTTAATATGCTTTCTAAAGAAATAACACACATTTTCTCCATATTAACAAGCATTTTCTAATAGTCATATATGCACATTAACATTGAATTCTTCCCTTCTGCATACTAAAGATGTTTCTACTTAACACAACCATGGTCAGTACCTGCTCCAGTTCTATACCACAGTAATGTCTTTGGACAAGACAGTGGCATGGGTTGGTACAGGGACTAGGAACCACAGCTAAGGTACTCGTGATCAAAGAGAGGCTCTGTACATGTAGAGAGAAGTGCTGAAAACCGCTCCACTCAAGCAAGACATGCTGACTTAGCCTACGTCAAAACCTGTTCAAAGTACTGTTTATCAGCTATTACAGTCATTCTGCCTGTCCACTGGGCTTTACAGAATCATCCTCTCTCTCAGATTTAAAGTCCCTACACTGCAGTTCTTTCAGAATGCTCCTGCCATCAGTCAGTGTGCTCTAAAACATGCATTTAATTCAGCATTTGCCACGCCGTAGTTAACAGTATTTATTATGGGCCAGCCTGCTCCTGTTCCTACCAGAGCTGTGCTATTTGAAAGCAGGTACAGAGATAGGAAAAAATACAATTTTAAAAGACTAGGTCTTTTTCCAGAGTGGTTAGACTGGGGATCTTAACACATCCTTCCTCCCTCTCCCTCTCTGCTACCACAAAGAGGAAATGGACATTCCACAGGGACGACCACTTCCTTCTCCCTTCTGCCTTCCGCCCAAGTCCCTACCATCACCACCACCACGAGCAATTTTAGATGGTTCCTAGTATGCTGCTACTTCTGCTGAAAAATTAGTCATCTGCCTAGAACAAAGTTAAGGAAAATGAATAAATATACAGAGTCTGGTTGGGCACAGTGGCTCACGCCTGTAATACCAGCACTTTGGGAGGCTGGGGCAGGAGGATCACTTGAGCCCAGGAGTTGATACCTGCCTGGGCAACAGAGCGAGACCCCGCCTCTACAAAAAATTAAAAAATTAGCCAGGCTAAGTGGTACACACCTTGTAGTCATAGGTACTCAGGAGGCTGAAGCAGGAGGATCACTTGAGCCCAGGCAGCAGTTCAGTATTACAGTGAACTATGATCAGGCCACTGCACTCCAGCCTGGGCGACAGAGCTAGGCACTATCTCTTAAAACACACACACACACACTCACACTCTCTCTCACACTCACTCTCACACTCTCTCTCTCTCCTTCTCTCTCTCCCTGTCTCCCTCCCTCCCTCTCCCTCCCCCTCCCCCTCTCTCCCTCTCCACCCTTTGAAGTCTTAGGTTTCAATTATTCTCAGGTCCCTCTATCTCCTCTTTTTCCTCTGTTCTCCCCTCCTTCTGCTCATTGTAGCCTTTACCTAAGCATCCCACTTGCTCTGTTTGACTTGAAAAGAAAATCATGGATATAATAATGATTGCTTTTGAAAATGTAAAACAGAAAACTTAATATTGTAAATATTTGTCAGATTCTATGCCTAGATAATACGTATAAAGGCAAACAATGTCCTTTCTTAGTATAACTTTTAAAGCGCTATCTATACAAGTTAAAGTATGAATGAAATACTAAAGAATAATTCACGTATTAAAAACCTCTGATGAGGTTGCACAAGTGGGTATTCATTTTATTATTATGCTTTTATTAAATATGTTATATTTAAAAAACTACAATGGGTAATTAAAAACTTGTATTTGAGTCTAATATCTTATGTCCTACAGTTATTATATGTTATGTGTTAAAGAATATTTCCCTTTTGTAAAGTCCAGAAATTGTTTTTATTTATTTATTTAATTTCTTAATCTGTGAAACAGAGGGTTTGGATGCTGTCTCAGGCCCCTTATAGCTCTACATTCATTTTGTACATATTAATGAACTGGGCCTGATTAAGATGGACTCGACCTGATTTTTAAGAGGAACACCAAATCATTTGGTACCATTTGTTTTCTAGGTAGTAAATTTCCCCTGATTATTAGGCTTTCCTCATGCTTTGACCCTTCTTGATTTACCTGGCTTTCTCTGGGAACTTCCCTCCCCTCAGTGTGCCACAATTTTTGTCCTTGCTTTCTGACCTATCCCTTTTTTGTTAATAGGGAAGAATGAAAGTCGAGAAAGAGGTTCCTTCATATAGACCTACTTTCAGCCCTCACACAACCTTAAAGCAATCCAGTTCTGTTAGTTGTATCCTTAATGTTCATACTGGTCACCAACAAGTAATTTTATTCTGTTATTTAGAAGCAAAATCAAGCTCAGAACACAGAAGATCCTTTGTAGTTTTGGTTTTCAGCATTTTATTTTCATTCCTCATAATAAAAATGTTATAGGACATGTATCTTTGAATATGACAAATGATCATATTGAATTCTATACTCAAATCTGCATTTCTGATCCACTGACTTTGTTTTTCTGTTTTCCTTTCCTGCTTACACTTTGGACAGGACAATCTTTGTTCCCCTTCTGACATCCTTCAGCTAAACCTCAGCGTTAAAAGAACTGTTGAAACACTACTTTCTCTTGGGGCACATTCAGAAGAATCCAGTTTTGTCTCTCTTTCTCTCCAACTTTTGGGTTTTGTGGCATTTTATTGTACTTTAATGTTAACTCTCTGTATGCTTTATTACTGGACCTTCCCCCTCTAGCTGAAAGATTGCATTCCAGTGATCTTCCACCTCATTCCTGTGCTTGGTAAAGGAGGTTTGTTTCTTATCAGAATTATTTACATATGTACTTTTTTCCTCCCTGGCCATCAGAGAGCAGAAGACCAGCATTTTTTCTCCTGGTCATTTGTTCATTTTCCTGGCCTGTGGCTTTGTTTGTCTTATCATAAATGCTGAAGCATTTTTACTAATATAATCCTGGACTTGTTCTTAGAAAATGACATGCAGAACCTTATTTCCAAATGACACAATAAAATCCCCACCTGGCCATTTTTCCACGCCTCAACACAACGTAAGTGTTGAAATTGTAAGTTGCTGAATGTTTTCAACAACTGCTGATAAGGAAAATGGTTGTGCCTTTTTTGGTTTAGGGGGTAACTGGTCACTTAGATTTCTGCATTGAACTATGTCCTGAAATACTGAATTCTTCCTTTATTGGTAGGTACGGGTCCATCTAAGCATTTGTTGTCTGGATATTTGGAGGGTATTGGCCATTTAATCTTAATAATTTTAATTAAGCTAGAATGTTCAAAGATCCTGTAGGTTCCCTAGACTGCTATTCTGAGCCCAATGTATACATTTAAAATAGTGCGCAGCAAGCAAATGATTTGGAGCTAACCTTTCAGGGTAGGTACTTGTCCAGATTTACTATGTTTGTTATGCTTAACTGAGATTCACTTCTAGAATTCTATTTAAAATTGGAATTTATGTAATTCTGAATATATTCAAACCATCTTAATAGATGAAATTGTATTTTATATGCTGTTGGGATATTAACAGGTAAAGTATTAGGCAGCAGTCTCTGTTCTGTACTCGAGATAGTGAATGTTGTCTGTATCTTTTAGAATGCTTAGTAAATTAGCTGCTGGACATTAATGCTTGAGACTACTTCATAATTGCAGTCAGATTCTAGTTCTCATAAATGGTGTTTCTGAACATTCAGGAATCTTCTGAACTGTTAACAATTGGACAATTGAACTCAAGTATGAAGGGAGATGGCAGTGAACATAATATCCTGTTGTAAAATTCAGCCTGAGGGTCTCACTGCTTTGGTTTTCCTCCATATTAAATGAGATAGTTATTTAACACATTAAAGGACTATTCCCTGTTAATGCTAAAACACTGAACACTGATGATGAAAACTTTGGTTTTATGTAGTAGTAGTGCCTTCCAGAATTTGGGAGTTTGGGTTTGTTTTGTTTCTAAGATGTCTCTGAGTCCATGATCATTCTCAGAGTTTTGTGGAGTTTTGTCCTTTTAAAAAAACACAGGCTTGTGTGTGGTTGAGAACACAAAGCATGCCCTCTAACCCAGCTGGAAGGTAAATGTGCATCTAGAAAGCATAAGCCTCTGAGGAATGTCTAAGGAATGTCTAAACCACTGGGTCACACAGGTCACAGGCACTACTGAGAAGAGATCAAGGAATCGGCCTTGGAGAAAATACGTCTCTTCCAAGAACAAAACACCATGCAGATTCATTTTTAGCATAGTTAATCTATATTTGCAGTTATACTCAAAGTATTTCTACAAAGTTGCTAGTTTTATTAGATCAAAAGATTAGTTGCCTTGTTTTATCAAAATAAGAATTAAATAAAAAGAAAGAAGCACAAGTACCAATAACTGCCTCAAAAATAAATACTTGTTATATTTTTCATTGTAACTGGTTTTATAAAACCTCCTAGTAATTGTAGTGAATGCCAATGAAAAATAGAGAAAACCTAGTATTGTCTCTAATAAATTTGTACAATCTCTATTTTAGTGGAACCAAAATTCTGCTTTCTCTTTGTGAGAGCAATGTCTTTTCTTTCTGAATATTTAGTCTTAACAGAAAAGCCAATGATAATGATGAGTGTCATTCTTAAGATTTGCCCACCAAACAAAGGGGCACACAAGATAGATATATGTAACTTCCTTAAGCAAATGTTGTAAAAGACTGTTCACGGCCGGGCGCGGTGGCTCAAGCCTGTAGTAATCCTAGCACTCTGGGAGGCTGAGGTGGGTGGATCGCTCAAGGTCAGGAGTTCGAAACCAGCCTGAGCAAGAGTGAGACCCCCATCTCTACTAAAAAATAGAAAGAAATGATCTGGACAACTAAAAAGATATATATAAAAATTAGCCGGGCATGGTGGCGCGTGCCTGTAGTCCCAGCTGCTCGGGAGGCTGAGGCAGAAGGATCGCTTGAGCCCAGGAGTTTGAGGTTGCTATGAGCTAGGCTGATGCCACGGCACTCTAGCCTGGGCAACAGAGCAAGACTCTGTCTCAAAAAAAAAAAAAACAAAAGACTGTTCACATATTGGTAATTAAGATGTTCCTGACTAAACTCATGTAATAGTTCTCCAGCATAATTCAAGCCATTAAATACCAGGATATGAAATACTGTACTTTTTCAAATACAATTTCATTTTAATTCTGTAATTCAGATTTTTAACTAATTCGGACAGGGCCTTCCATGAATTATTCGAATTAGGGGAAAGTTTCTTAAACATATCTAAATCTCAAGAGCTTAGGATACACTGAGTTTCTTCCTGTGATCCTTGCCTGGTCTGTGAACCTGGTTTTCAGAGTCAGGATTGTAACACAGATTATAATACATCCCTTCTCACGCAGTCTGAGTCATATCATGAAACCGTCTTGCATTCCTGTGACATGGAATTTACAAAGTGCTTTCTCCTGAAATGGTACATCTTTCAGTCTTGAGCCATTTGGTATCTTGGAACTGTTTTTATTTTTCACCTGCCTATTTTACAGATCTGCACTGGTCATTTATTTAAATCAAGGATAACGGATGTTGCTTTCACTCCACAATATTCTGTTCTTCCTCTGTTTTATGTATAAATGTATACTACTTGTCAATTTCCAATTTTCAAAATGGTCTGTGTATACTTTTAGTTGTATTAATAAAATGACAGTGTCAGACACCATCTCTAAATCAGAGGTCTGTTTCCCAGGTACTGACTTGTCATATCTTAGTTGATTATTATCAAAGGGAAAAGAAGTGCTTATTTTTTCCTTTCAGTTCTATGATGTTCATCCTATTTTCTCTTTTGTTTGTTTTTATTTTACATTGTCCCATTTCAGGAGCAATTATGTTTGCCTCTCCACATTTTAGAAGAGAAAGGTTTGAGCCAGGTTGCAGTGACGGTCCAGGCTCTCCTAGAACTTGCCCCACCCAAGCAACAGCAGCACCAGTTATCTGCTGTTTAAGGACTCCCAGGACCTTGGGCGTTGGCCTAGCCAAAGCAAGGAACAGGACAACGTGATTGCTGCTGCCCGCTGTCTGCTTAAACAGAGCTCTTATGTGTTCTTAGAAGGGACTGTTTCCCCGATTCCTAACAGGAATATGTTGCTTCATTTCTCCATTTTAGGGGAGGTTACATCCATTTCCATTGAATTTTTTTATGAAGACATAGTTGGTTTTCTCAAATGAAACTTCTCTCATTACTGAGAACCCAACACCAAAGCCTAAACCGGCTGTGCTTTCCTAGAGAGCAGGCTTATTTCACATACCAGAAAGCATATCTTCTCAGGAAGATATTTGGCTCTCTTGAAGGCACAAACATGCTGTTATCTTTACCTGTTCTCAAGACATCTACAGTCCACTGGTTTCTAAGCTTATTCATTCATTAGAATCTCCTGGAGCATTTGTTAAAATACAGATTTGGGCCAGGTGTGATGGTTCACACCTGTAATCCCAGCAGTTTGGGAGGCTGAGGCAGGAGGATCACTTGAGCCCAGGAGTTCGAGGTTGCTGTGAGCTGTGATCACACCACTATACTCCATCCTGGGTGACAGAGCAAGACCTTGTCTCAAAAAAAAAAAAAAAAAAAGATTTGCATTTGGTAGGTCTGGAATGTGGCCTAAGAATCTGCATTTTTAACACATTTCAGATGTTTTTCATGTAGTGGAGACCACTGTTCCAAGATAGATATGTGTAGGTTTTGTGGCATTTTTCGGCCACATTTAAAATTAAAAGCTATATTGTGATGACTTGGACTGTTCTGTCAAAGGCAAAACAAAAACACTAAAGAAGGCCGAGATTTTGCACACTAATACAGTGAAGCAGATATGGTCATATTTAAGGCCAGCGTTCTAGGCTTCCTTCCAACTCCAGTCCACCACTGCGGCATGTTTTTTTTGGTAGAGGATGGTCTCTGTATCATCCTGCTGTTATCTAAACCGTATAAACAAGCACTCTCACACAGGTTCCAGATCCTTAAGCTGACGTGTGCTGCTGTGTGACATCTGCGTTGATTTCATTAAGCCACCCTCACCACGGCCACCACTGCCGCCACCCCACCACCAGTGCTGCTCCCAGGACACCTGGACCTGCAGACACATTCCCTTCAAGCAGACATAAGTCTAGCTCCCCAGCTAATGGAAGATACGAGAACAAAGCAAAAGGGAATAAAGGAAAAGCCAACTTTCTTATATTTCTTTCAGGCTTCTGCCAACTTCTGTGGCTAAATTAAAGCACTTACGGTATTTTAAAAACAGCTTCCTGTGTTTACATTGAGCACACCATCTGGCTCCACCACTAGTGCCTTACACACTCAATTGAGGGTGGAGTAAAAGGCCCAAGGTTCGCACACATGAAGTCAAGAGTTTTTATTCAAGTTTAAACCACTTGGGTTTTTCTTCCCTTGTATTTGAAACCCATTTTTAGTTATCAGTGATATCTCTTGGTGTTCACTGCCTTTGTAAACCAAGTAAATAGAGTGAGTAAAGATACTAATTATCTAGGTTTTTTTCCATAGTTGTTAACTGTTCTGGATTTTCTTTACCAGTATGTGCATTTGAGCATAATGTTATCCCTCTTTTTATCATGTAAATGTAGCATCTAAAGGTAGTTCGGGGCTGGTCCGATGGTAGGTTCTCAGAACTTGCTAACATTAGTGTCACTAAAGTTGGTATATGACCCCCCACTGCTAATTTGAGTGGCTATAAAAATAAAAGTGGTTTGGGATAAAATCATGTTGAGCATCTGGCCAAAGTAATGTTTTCTTCTTAGTTCTTGCAGAGAAACAAGTTCATCAGAACATTACCACTTTGTCCCAGTTTAAAACTGTATAACATAAAACATCTGAGGTCAAAGCCCAATCCTTCAGGGTCCTCACAGAACAAAACCTAAATGTCTTGTAAGTGCTTAGGGCTGGACCCCATTATATTTACAATTCCAAACAGACCCACCAACCATATAACTATTTAGAATTTAGCTATGTGTGTTTTTAAACTATAGGTATTTTTCCTTCCAGTCACCATTAAACCTCAGTATAATCTCCAAATTATATGCTATCAGAAATGGAAACTCAGCAAAGGACAGGACTGTTTTTAACATATTATGCAAGGAATAATTCCAGGAGACATTACATAAGGCAATACTTGCAACATTTGCAACTAATTTTCCCATAGGAATAAATGGAAATTTCAACTTATTTCAAATTTTGCACATAACACAGAACCTTATTAATGTGTTTTTATCAAACTAATTCAGATTTGTATGTGAATTGTTAGAAAAAAATTGGTATAGTTTTGGTTGATAATGAAGGAAAAATATCACATATATTGAATTTCTTTTCTGTATCAAGATGCAAAAAATAAGTCATGATGCTTTTATTGGAGAATTTTTCTATATACTGTTTTTCATGTACCTTTTTTAAAAAAAACTGGAAAGAACCAGTTCAGTTTAACATTTAGGCTTGCTAGACTCTAGTGTAAGGTAAAGATGACCTTGTGAAGTTCCCTCTGACCAGAAGCAGTGACCTCCCCAACACTGAAAGTGTGAACAGGCTGTGAGCTCCCCCAACAGGGCCCCTGCCACCTACAGAGATTTTATGTCAGCGGTTTCCAGGCTTTCAAACTCAACTCTGTTCGGCACTCCAAACCAATTTTCCCTTGTAATAAGCAGGTCTGGAAACAACTCATGGGAGGACGGGTCTTTGTATTTGGCTAGAATGCAAAGTAGGAAAATGCTTAGTTGTAGGTCACTTTCCTTAATAGCTTGTTAAAATACAGCCTTAACAGCTAATCAAGGAGTTTGTGATTTCTCTTACTTTCTACAGCTCAGCAGTGACTAACGATGTATGACTGTGCTGATGAGTCTCATGAATTTTTAAAAACTAAGCACTTAAATGGTTATAGAAATGAAGGAAACATGGATATTTAGAAGCCTTTTTATATACACATTGCAGTAATGGTTTACAGCAGATTTCATTTTATTTCTGAAAATGTGGTAAACATGTAATTAGTAAAGGATTTTGTAAAACATTGTCCTATATTTGTATGTCTGTAAATATATTGCATAAGTTTTAAGTATAAATATGTCAATATCATGTATGTTATTTTAAATTGCCTGTATGCCACCTTACACCTTGATATTAAAATAAAAGCCAACACTTCAGTAGCATGTAATAAAGGCTGATTTGGTTTTTGGCTTTTTGTTGTTGTTGCTGTTGTTGTTGTTGTTTTAGAAACAGGGTCTCACTATATTACCCAGGCTGGCCCTGAACCCTTAGCCTCAAGCGGCCTTCCTGCCTCAGCCTCCCAAGTAGCTGGGACAATAGCACATGCCACCATGCCCACCTAATAAAGGCTGATTTGCAAATGTTTGTATCTTTGCATATTTCCCTTGGCAAAGATGAATCAAGGAAAGGGTATCTGATTCCCTGAAGGAACATCAGTAGAAACTGGGTCTTCATAATAGGCCTTTGAGATCAAAATTTACTTTTTTATGGAAGTACAGATACCAAGATTGCCCTGTATTTGGAATTAGATAGGAGGCTTAATTCATGAGATGTATGTGACACATTAGGACAATTTTTCTCTCGGAAATTACCAGCTGTGCCATTGGGAAAGCTTTAGCATCCTGAGACGTTCTATTTTGATTAATCAAGGCAAGAATGACCTAGTGGGCTTATTCTTTTTAGGAGAAGAAGGAGAATAACAGAAACTTAATCAGCTTTACTATGTGCCAGGCACAGGTAAGGTATTTTCACATACCTTATCTGTATTAGTCTTAACACCCCATAAAGTGGGAATTGTTGAGTAAGCAAAGCAGCTATAGACCCTAGTGTCTCACTTGTCAAAAATATCTCCAAACTAGCCTTCAAGAGAACCTCTGTCCTCATCTTTACTATTTTTTAAATTGTGTATTCTAACATCCCATTTCTGTATTTATAATTTACATACTTACCTATTTCCCGGAAAAGTCACCGAAGCAACTTATAATAGGATGTGTATTCCATGCCACCCTCACCGCCCTAATAAAAACACTAAAGTGATGGCTGGGTGCAGTAGCTAACACCTGTAATACTAGCACTGAGGTGGGAGGATCGCTTGAGGCCAGGAATTTGAGACCAGCCTGTTCAACATAGTGAGACCCCTTCTCTACAACAAATAGAAAAATTAGCCAGGTGTAGTGGCTCACACCTGTAGTCCCAGCTACTTAGGAGGCTGAGGCACGAGGATCACTCAAGCCCAAGAGTTTGAGGTTACAGTGAGCTATGATGACACCACTGCACTCTAGCCTGGGCAACAGAGTGAGAACCTTGTCTTAAAAAAAAAAAAAGGCCGGGCAC